CATGACACCTCGTGCGGACTTGCTCACCGAACTCGAACCGTCGCCGGTCAAGCATGTTACATCGGCTTTGGGGCAGCAAGCAGAGGTGAAGGGCATGGGCAAGGCCATGTTCAAGGGTGCTGATGGGAAGATGGTGGGCCTCAAGAACGTGCTTTTGGTGCCCAACCTAGCAGCCAACCTGATTTCCGTTCGGCGTTTGCAAAAGGCCGGCATGGACACATCTTCCAAGGGTTCGAAAACTTATACCGCGAGGCTTGGTGAGCGGAAGCTTTGGGACCTTCATGAGGACAGGGACATCTACAATGAGATGTGGCAAATCCCAGTGGTCCCCATGCCTAAGGAGAGGCAAGTGGCAGCAAGCATCAGCACCAAGAGTGAAGCGGTTGGTGGCGGTGATCACGGAAAGCAAAGTGACATCAAGAGTGACTCAAAGGAGTGCAACCTTGGAGACACCAGCAAGGCGTGTGAACCCAAGGAGAGTGGTGCAGCAGCCAAAGGTGGTGGAAATGAGCAGGAGAAGGCTAAGATCAGCAAAGCAGCAGCGGCAAAGGAGAAAGGAGAGAGCTTGTGGGGCACAATTGCGAGTGCCGCTTTCTCCAACCCGGCTTCCGCTACGGGAGAGTGTGATTGGCTGACCTTGCATCGGCGAATGGGGCATGTGGCATTGCCCATTTTGCAGCAGATAGTTAAGCAAGAGATGGTCAGTGGGATACGTGTCAAGGGGGAGCCCAATGAGGTGCTTGGCTGTCCAACATGCATGCAAGCCAAGTTCACCCGCTACCCGTTCCATAGCTCGGAGACAACGGCGAAGGCACCACTTGATGAGGTGGTGATGGATGTGGTGGGCCCCTTGAAGCTTGGAGCTGCTGGAGCAGAGTACTTCCTCACCATTGTGGATGTCTACACTCGCATGACCTGGGTGTATGTGCTGCCCAAGAAGAGTGATGTAGCTGAGGCGGTGAAGACCGATTGGTTGCCGATGGTGGAACGGCAACAAGACCAGCTTGTGAAGGCGATTCGCACTGACCGTGGGGGAGAGTTCCTGAGCAAGGACTTCTCAACTTGGCTGAAGAAGCAGGGCATAAGGCACTCTCTTACCATGCCCTACTCTCCTGTAATGAACGGCATCGCCGAGCATGCGAATCGGACACTCACGGAGACGGCTCGGGGACTTCTCATTGAAGCCGGTCTACCCAATTACTTTTGGCCGGATGCGGCGCGGCATGCTTGTGTGGCCAAGAACAGAGCCTTGACTCACGTGGGAGAAGACAAATGGGTGCCCTATGTGGAGTGGATTGGAAGGAAGCCGAAGGTGGATATGCTTCGGGTGTTCGGGTGCATGTGCATGGCACTTGTGCCTAAGAAACTTCGGCACAACAAGCTTCATGCCAAGGCAACATGGGCCGTGCACCTGGGCATGGCTCAAAACAGCAAGGGATGGCTTCTTTGGGACCCATTTACCAAGAAGTTCCAGGTGAGCAGAGATTGCAAGTTCATGGAGAACTTCCCGTACAAGGAGTGGAAGGCAGAGAATCAAGCGAAGATTGGTGTGCGGCTTGGAGAGGTGAAGAGTACCGGCTTGGAGCATATGGAGCTGCCCTTGGAGCTGAGTAGCAGCAGCACAATCACGAGGCAATCTCCTCAAATGAATGGGGGAGAAGAGGAGGAGGAGGTGCAGCAAGGTGATGAGCGTGCACCGTCACTTCCGCCTCGTGCTACAAATGCTCGCGGGAACCGACCAGATTTGCAGCAACACCATGAGAGCATCCAAGTCCCTACAGCAGAGGAGGAAGGAAGGGGGAGAAGGAAGACTCAGCCCCCCAAAAGTTTGAGCTATGAACGGCTTGGAGGAGCAGCCAACTCAACCTTGACCGGTTCGGCTCTCATGCTAGGCGATGATGCGGAAGATGAAAGCGAGGAGTGCGCTTTTGCCTTCTTCTCTCGGGTGGAGATGCCGGGGGAGCCTACAAATCCCCAAGGAGGCTTGGGAGGGCCCCAATGGGAAGGAGTGGAAGAAGGCCTCAGATGAAGAAATGGGGAGCATCATCGAGAACGACACGTTTGATTTGGTGAACCTACCTACGGGGCGTAAGGCGATTTCCTCCAAGTGGCTCTTCAAGCGCAAGACTGACGCCGACGGCAACATTGAGCGCTACAAGAGTAGACTTGTAGCCAAGGGGTACCAGCAGCAGGAGAAGAAGGACTACAATGAAGTATATGCTCCTCTTGTGAAGGGTACAACCCTTTGAACTCTCTTCGCCGCGGCGGCCATGAAAGGATTGGTGGTGAAGCAAATGGATATAGTAACGGCCTTCCTCAACGGAGTTTTGGAGGAAGAGACCTACATGGAGCAGCCAGAGGGGTACAATGATGGGAGTGGCAGAGTGTGGAAGCTGAAGAAAGCACTCTATGGCCTCAAGCAAGCCCCTAGGCAATGGTACATCAAACTGCGGGAAGTCTTGGAGGCGATCGGCTTCACTCCCTCAACAGCCGATCAATCCTTGTTCATGCTTGGCGAGGGGGAGCAGAGGAGCTTCATGGTGGTTTATGTGGATGACATCCTCATATTCTCACCCCCCTTTGACCTTGTGAAGGAGGTGATGCTGAAGCTTCAAGACAAGTTCAAGTGCAAGACCCTTGGTGGCGTCAACTACTACCTTGGGCTTCACATTGAGCGAGATGTGGAGAAGCGGTGGATGCGAGTGCATCAAAAGAAGTACTTGGAGGCCTTGGCTGCAAACTTTGGGAAGAGTGAAGGTCATGTGGCTACTCCTCTTCCCTCAGGGTTCAAGTGTGTGAAAGGATCAGTGGAGGAAAGTGTTGGTGAAGAGGAGATGCGCCGTTTTCACTCCTTGGTGGGCAGCCTCATGTATGCGGCCGTTCACACAAGGCCGGATGCAGCCTTTGCTACCGGGCAGCTAGCTAGGGTTGTCCAATGCCCTAATGGAGAGCAGGTAGCAGCTGGAGAGAGAGTGGCCAAGTATCTTGGCCAAACAGCAACTGTTGGACTGCAATACTCCGCGGCGGCACAAAGGCGTCAAAAGGGTGCGGATGGAGTCGAACCCGGGAGGCTCTTTCTCACCGCCTTCTCTTATGCATCTTGAGCATCAGAACCAGAGGATATGACAAGTGTGGGAGGCTTCATCTGTTGTGTTGGTGGAGGCCCAACAGCTTGGGAGAGCAAGAAGCAAGTGGACCAAGCATTGAGCTCGGTGGAGTCCGAGTACATGGCACTCTTCTGTGCCATAAGGGAGGTTGTGTGGCAGCGGCGTTTGCTGGCTGAATTGGGGGAGGAGCAGCAAGGACATACCCCACTCTATTATGATAGCCAAGGTGCTATTGCATTGGCTAAGAACCCAGTTCTTCATGGCCTTACCAAGCACATGAAGGTGAAGTGGCATTGGGTGAGGAGCACGGTAACCTCGGGTGAAGTGGAGTTGCGCTCCGTGAAGACGACGGCACAGCCTGCTGATATGATGACCAAGAGGCTGGTTGAGCAGCAGCATTGGAAGTGTTGCAAGCTTGCTGGGATGGCTCTGAACTAAGGGGAGCAGATTCTAAGGCCAACAATACGAGGGGGAGTTTGTTGGTGCAACCCTATGGCTTGCACTCGGCTTGTCGTCCTTGTTTGTGTGTGTGCATGCATGGCATGGAATGAATTGTGAGTCTATTTCATTGCTATCTAGTACATGTGTGTGTGTTTGAATGGTGTATCACAATGTGGTTTGTGTCGGTCAAGACATTAGCGAGTTTTTACAACTCGCATGTCAAGTCGTCGTTTGCGTGTCGCATGTGTTTTTTCTATTTTGTAGAGTGTGAAGTGTCCATCGCGTCGCAGGTGTGTGCAGCAAGCCCCCATCAACTCAAGAAGAATTTATCTTGCAGAACCAAGACCAAGAGCTCAAGATTTCAAGCCCAAGGGACACGGATAAATATTAAATAGTGAAAATAGTAACGCTACTTCGTGTAGTGTTACATTTCACTTGGTGTAGCCCCTTGGAGGGTTTGTTTCGAGACTCTTCATGGTTGGGGACTCTGTGGTTGTGTACCACCAACCTGGACCTCGGCTCTTGGGGTATGTAGAGGCTGGGAACCATCTCCATCTTGAACTCTTCTTGCTAAGTTTGTACTCCTACGACTATAGTGGCTACTGTACCTCCTGCCAGTCAAACCGCCATAGAGTCGTCAAATCTTCATGGAAGTTTATGATTCAACTTGCTGCTGATAGGCGACAGCAACACGCCCCAGATCCCATTTACAGCTCACCATTTGAGACACAGATCAGATCGGCATCAATATTTGAAGCTGTCTAACGGAATTCTGACTATGCACAATTTCTCTTATTTGAGGCACATCTGAGCCTATTGTGATTATAACAAAGAAGACCCAGGGCCTTAGCTTCACACCATTATGGTGACTCTCTTATTCTCGTAGCCCACCATCTGAATGGTGTTCTTTCTCCTATCACGTCAAGTGTGCGCAGCGCATGCATTTCGAGCCAAGGAGGCGTCTGGTCCCGCGTTGAGGACAAAGTTGTGGGGTATGTTGCAGTGGGTGTGCCTCTGCTTGACAAAGGCCCAAAAGCTCTTCACCTTACTAGTCTCCTTAGCAGAAATTAAAAGAGAGACATTTTCACTCTGCGCATAGCCACACTAGGCTATTGGCTGTGAGGGATTATGGAAGAATAATCAAATATGAAGAATAGGAACCAAATGAGGTGAAATAATGTAAAGACGTAATGAAACGTGATAGAAATGTGAATAAGGTATAGAGGGGATATAGAAAAGGAGAAAGAAGTGTAACAAGATCGTACTCTCACACTTACCCCCTCAAAGTTGGGTGATAGAAGTCACACCATGCTTGCCAAGGTAGTTGCAAAGAGGACGACGGGTATTACCCATGTTACATTTGGAGACCAAGCTATCCTCAAAAGAATGATAACCCTTCCAGTGAATAAAACACTCCAAAGTGCTATTGGGATGACAGCGATGTGCAAGCACGGACTCGACCTCGTACACTTGGAGAAATTGTCAATGACGACGAGGATTGCACTGTGAGCGCTGCTAGTAGGTGGTAACCAAGTAATGAAGTCCAAGCTGGCCACTTCTTGTGGCTGTTCAGGGTTGGGAAGAGGCTGTAGCAGTCTTGATTTCTTCTGGTTACTGCTCTTCATGCGCTAACAGTGGTGCCAGAGGTTTCAAATCTCTAGACAAATAATGCCATGTGGGGCTAGTAGAAGTGTTTAGCAATATCATAAGGGACTTTTTACTAACGATATGTCTGGGATACAGAACGTCGTGGTACTTTTAGAGATGTAACTCGCGCAAAGGTGGGTAGTTGGGTGCCCATACCTTCGTTGATCCTTTTAGCTATGCGATGTTGCTGTCCAACTGTAACAGGTGACCGTAATCTGCTAACGGAATCTCAGGATCGATGAAGTACTCGTGTCTAAGGAGTCCCTTGAGGATCTGCTTTATCCCGTCAACTCAACGTAATCATGTGGCTGATGGCAAATGGTCCACAGTAGATGGGGCAAAGTTTTTGGACTATGGGCAGTCGAATGTTCTGTGTATCGAGCAGTACTAATTTCCATGCTTTGTAACGACTGAGTGGTGTAGGTCTGCATTACGCTTAGAAATTATATTCGCGCGCTTAATGGCTCCTGTTGCTCACTCACAAGCATTTTGTAAAATATCTGCCAACTGTTGAGCTCAGGGTACGGGATTTTTTATTTTGGGGGTGACAGGTACTGTAGGGTTTTGTCCGTGGATCAGGAAAAAATGGAACTGCCGGGTAGTGGCTGGCGGGGTATTATTTTAGGCAAACTTGATCAAAGGCATCTACTTTTCCCAGTCGGCCACATCATCGCATATGGCACGAGTCAGCTGCTCCATCGTCTGATTTGCCAGTTCGGTCCGTCCATTAGTTTCGGGGTGATAGGCGGAGGAGAACTGTAGGCGTGTGCCAAACTGGTCCCACAAGTTGTGCTAGAAGTTACTGGTGAATTTTGTGTCTCGGTCTGAAATAATGGCGGATGGAATGTTGTGTAGTCGAACGATGGTTGAGATGAACACGTGGGCGGTTTCTTCGGCTGAGATGCTTTTCTTGCACGTGGCAAAGTGAGCCAGCTTCTTCAGCTTGTCCACGACGACGAATATTGAATCTATACAGCCATCCTTGGTAGGCAATCTCATAACAAAATCCACCGTCATTTGCTGCCACACACGCTCTGACGGAAGAATAGGCTGCAACTGTCCAGCTAGCTTCTACTTCAATGATTTCATGGTTTGGCAGATTTTGCGTGAAACCACGTGCCCCTACACATCCCATTGCATGTCGGGCTAGAATAGTAACGTGATAATTGTTGCCGTGTTTTCTATACTCTAGAATGCCCTGATACTGTACTATCTTGGGCTTCTTGTAATAATAGCTCTTATAATATACTGTACTCTGGTACTCGATCAGTTCTTGTGTTTACATAATAAACTCCCAGTTGCGAGCTATTCGTATGCGCCCGTTATAAAGAACCTGTTCGTCTGGTAACTGTAGGTAGATACTGTAGTCCGGTTAATAGCGGGGAAGTTTGGGAGAGGATGATTGAGTTGAGATGTGCGGATGGTCGTGAATGGGTACATGCAATGTTTGATGACTCTTTTTTGTACGTTTCTATACAATGGAAGGTGGACTCCATAAAATGCAATCAACGAATTTGTCGCGGATTAAGCAGTGGTTGCGAAAGAATATGCTTTAGGTTGTGGTGGTTTATCGGTATTGTCATATCTGCCATTGTCAGGTAGCACCGCCACACTTTCTTGCACGCTCGCAAGCATCTCTTTGTTGTGTATCGGATAGTTTCGCTCAGACGGTTGCAACTTTTGTAACTTATAAGCGATTGGCTGTAAGCCGTCGTCAAAATCCTGTAACATTACTGTTCCAATGGCGATATCGCGTGCTTCAGTGACTACTTCGAATATCGGTGAGGATTGGCAATGCAAAGGACAGGGGCTGAGCACATAAATAATTTGAGCACAGAGAAGGCAGCTTGCTCTTTCTCTCCCCTCATGTACTCAGTCGCTCTCTGCAGCAGGTCAGTCAACGGTGCAGTTACCCCCGTCATATTCGGCATAAATCTCCGAGCACAATAGACAAACCCTAAAAAACTTTGCAGCTCCTATAGCTTTGAAGGCGGTAGCCAAACCTGCACTATATTAATCTTACACGGATCTACATCGACACATTGGGTAGAGATAACGTGGCATAAAAAATCTAACATTTCTTTTAGAAAATCACACATAGACCCTTTGTGAGCACGCGATGCTCTTGCAGTGGTGTCGAACGTGGGCGGCCTCTACGTCTTGAGTGTGCTGGGCACCATGCTAATGTTGGCAGTTTGCAGGCTGTCTTGAGAAGTAATTTGGGGGAGGGGGGGGGGGGGGGGGGGGGGGGAGGAGGGGGGGGGGCTCGAAATTCACTCGCTCGCCAATTTCCGCTCGACCAATCGTCAGCATGGGATTGTTCGTCGATCCCTTGAGTGATACCGCGCTTGGTCGCTGGTTGTCCTCGGGTATTTCAAAACTCTGCTGCAAAACTTGCTCTTGTTGTCCTTGATTTGTCATTGGCGGGCTGCATATTGTGTCATGGCTGCTCCAACTCTCGTTGCATTGTAGATATCTCCGATTCTGCAGGAGCTTATTCAGCTTACAGACGCGCCAACTCTTGGTGAAATGATTCAAGGGTGAGCAGTTTCTCGTTGAGTGCTACCGCCCTTGCTTCTGTGGGATGGCTCCACCATTTCCTAAAAAATTGGGTGGCTTTCCGTATGCTGGCACTGCGAACGCAGTCGTGGCAGCAGGTAATTGTTAGATTAGATAACCAGGACAGCAGATATGCGGTAAGCACAGGGCGTCGGCCTCTAAGTGTTGGTATTGCAACGGAACTAGAGTGCAAGACTGAGGCTCGATGGCTCTGATGACCAGGTGTAATTAAGTGCTGTCACCCTGTGTCGAATGTTGGTATTAGCAAGGAAATAATACACTGAGGCAACATCAAAACAAACGAGGACATGAATAAAACTAAGCCTAAAGCACGCGGTCGAGGCTCAGTAGAGCTGAGATGTGTGGCTATCGATAAGCGCAAAACGCACAAGTGCAGACATCAGGCAGGCAAAATGCATGCGGTTTGATAGTGGGCCACGTTTGGGTGCCACGATTTGAAATTCGTGGCAGACAGCGTGGCAACCCTGTTATAGCAGTATGAGCCTTACTAGCTAAACCCCGGGATAAGGAAATATCATTTCGCCCGCCTTATGGGAGTGTATGCTTTACTAGCTAAAACCCGGGATAAGGAAATTCTATTAGCACGCGATAATTTCACACCTAGCACGCGATAGTTTCACACCTTAAAATTGGGCGGCAACCGAAATTTTATTGCCACTCTGACCACATCTAGGTACGTAGACATCGTGCACGTGTTCCTACGACCGACGCTTGGCAGTCTCGACATGGAAGGCGTTGGTGGAAGACTTTGTGTGTTGCCACGTTGGCCGACATCGAGTTTCCACCCGACGTCAGGTTTCCCAACACGAGACATGCTAAAATTGCGCAGAACCCATAGATATTTTGTTTTCCAGGGGTAGCCGGATCCACCATTCAAGTCATGCATAACGAGGGTGAATACCCTCTTGGCGGCACCCCTTCTGAAAATATTAGGTGTGAAATTACCTCGGGGCAGGTGTATTCTGATAGTTCAATTATAACACATTTGCTATAGACTCCCAAAGTTCGTCATTGGCGTGTCCCCAAAAATCGTTTACGCGTCTTTGACGCGTGGAGCCATTTGACGGTACGCAATGTGAATCAGTTTTGGAACAGATCCCGCTTTGGAAACAGGTCTGAAATGAGGGGTGCAGTTCGGAAGGACAACACCAAGACCTGCACAGACGTAGAGGCAGGTACAGTAACGGGGTCCCGCCATGCGAAACCAGTGCAACAAGTGCGTGTAATAAAAGTGGGCCAATCAGCGCAGCGAGGGTAGGTTGTTCGCTAGCAATGTGCGAGGCTGCAGAGTTTCATGCGAGAATTTTGCTAGAGGTGGTGCTGGTATTGGAAGCCGATTTGGATTTTTGTGCGGTCTTTTTTTGTCGAGAGGGGCCTAGAAACGTGCGCAGTTGTCCGCTAATTTCGGATGTGAGCTGGGCGCATCCTATTTAAGCGTGTTTTATGGTTACACACCTAAAAGTGGTAACTGAACTCTATGTTGAACAGGGCACGTACTTTAGTGACACGCCCTCACACAAAAATGGTTCCTTCTTGATGAATATTTCGTCATTCTTATGAAGTGCATCACAGACCTAGCACATCTTGTGGAAGTGCCCGGTTTCGAAACTGCACAGCGACAACGGGCGTTTCAAGTTGCGAGCACACAAAGGTCATGTTATGAGTGGGAATGGAACAGCCACTCAGTAATGGGAATACAGCCTCGGAAAATAATGTATCAGCAAGTGACAAGCGAACTAGCTAAAATAGGGCACGGACGTGTTAGGACGAGCTACGGCGAGAACCTCGGGACGTGAGATGGATTGGATGGGTGGCGAGGGTGTCAGAACGCGAGTCAGGGAGGTTTGGATCGACAATATAGGCCGAACATGCGAGCTCGAGGTCTTCGGGTGTACGTGCTGTAGTTTAGCGTAATAAGGATTTGTAATTCCTTATACTCTCCCACCTTCTAAATAAGGCCCTCTCTATATTGAAGGTCGAATCATTAAAAGTAATCAACGATGTGACTGTAGGTCTTCAGCACAATGACGCACGCAATGATTACGCCGTCCTGACGAGGTCTTCGGGTCGAAATGTAATCGATGGTCAGAAAACGTCGAAACGATCGCTTTTAATCGTAGCCGTCAAAGATTGTCGAAATCTTCAGCTGACCGAACGGGTACTGGTGAAAACTCCTCTTGACACTGTAAATAGTCAATCTGGCTGTTGATGATGGCACATGGCTGATGAAATCTTGTAATGATGAAATGAAGGGTGATGTGGCCGATTAGTTGTCGAGAAAAAAACGAACTGTTCATCGAGACGCGAGGTCATTCGTAACACGTACAAGCACACGCGTGCGTTCATGGCTCGTGGAAGTCTGCGAACTCCATAAGCGAGTTGAAGACTTTGACGAGAAAGCGTAACTGAG